CAACCCCCCCCAGATGTCCCCAAACCCCCTCTCAGATGTCCCCAAACCCCTCCAGGTTTTGCCCGGGATGTCTCCTGCTCCTCACCTGCCCGTGTGGGAGATGTGGATCCGCTTGGATGGCCGGACCTCCACGCCGTTCTTGAACCAGCGGCCGGTCACCTTCTCGTCCGACACCTCGCACTTGAAGACCGCCTGCTCGGTGGCCTGCACCGTCAGGTCGGCGATGCCCTGGAGGACCTCCAGCTGCTTCTCTGGGGGGGGGAAACGGGGGGTCAGGAGACCCCAAAATCATCGTGGACACCAAAAATGTCCATGGGAATCCATGGGACTCCATAAATGTCCAGAGGAACCCAGAGGAACCCATGGAGAACCCAGAGGAACCCATGAAGAACCTCCTGAGATGTCCTGGAGAACCTTCAGGAGCTACTTGGGAAGACTCCAAAATCATCGTGGACACCAAAAATGTCCTTGGGAATCCAAAAATGTCAATGGGAATCCATGGGACTCCATAAATGTCCAAGGGAACCCATAGGAACCCATGGAGAACCTCCTGAGATGCCCTGGAGAACCTTCAGGAGCTACTTAACCCATGGAGAACCTCCTGAGATGCCCTGGAGAACCTTCAGGAGCTACTTAGGAAGACCCCAAAATCATCGTGGACACCAAAAATGTCCTTGGGAATCCATAAATGTCCAGGGGAACCCAGAAATGTCCAGGGGAAACCAGAGGAACCCATGGAGAACCTCTTGAGATGCCCTGGAGAACCTTCAGGAGCTACTTGGGAAGACCCCAAAATCATCGTGGACACCAAAAATGTCCTTGGGAATCCATAAATGTCCAGGGGAACCCAGAGGAACCCATGGAGAACCCATAGGAACATCTGGAGAACCTCCTGAGATGCCCTGGATCTCCCAAATTCTCCTGAAGATTCCTGGGATCTCCAGAACCTTCTCCAAGATGTCTCTCAAACATCTCCAGAACCTTCCAGGACCATCCAAATCCCCCTGGACCTCCTGGAGATCTCCAGAACCTTCTCCAAGGTGTCCCTCAAACATCTCCAGGAGCTCCCAGGAGCTTCCAGGAGGTCCCAGAAGGTCCCAGGACCCTCCAGATCCCCCTGGATCTTCTGGAGATCTCCAGAACCTTCTCCAAGGTGTCCCTCAAACATCTCCAGGAGGTCCCAGAAGGTCCCAGGAGGTGCCAGGAGGTCCCAGAAGGTCCCAGGACCCTCCAGATCCCCCTGGACCTCCTGGAGATCTCCAGAACCTTCTCCAAGGTGACCCTCAAACATCTCCAGGAGGTCCCAGGAGGTCCCAGGAGGTCCCAGGACCCTCCAGATCCCCCTGGATCTTCTGGAGATCTCCAGAACCTTCTCCAAGGTGTCCCTCAAACATCTCCAGAAGGTCCCAGGAGGTCCCAGGAGGTCCCAGAAGATCCCAGGAGCTCCCAGGAGCTCCCAGAAGGTCCCAGGAGGTCCCAGGAGGTCCCAGGACCCTCCAGATCCCCCTGGACCTTCTGGAGATCTCCAGAACCTTCTCCAAGGTGACCCTCCAACACCTCCAGGAGCTTCCAGGACCATTCAAATCTCCCTGGACCTTCTGGAGATCTCCAGAACCTTCTCCAGGGTGACCCTCAAACATCTCCAGGAGCTCCCAGGAGCTTCCAGAACCTTCCAGGACCATCCAAATCCCCCTGGATCTTCTGGAGATCTCCAGAACCTTCTCCAAGGTGTCCCTCAAACATCTCCAGAAGGTCCCAGGAGGTCCCAGGAGGTCCCAGAAGATCCCAGGAGCTCCCAGGAGCTCCCAGAAGGTCCCAGGAGGTCCCAGGAGGTCCCAGGACCCTCCAGATCCCCCTGGACCTTCTGGAGATCTCCAGAACCTTCTCCAAGGTGTCCCTCAAACATCTCCAGGAGGTCCCAGAAGGTCCCAGGAGGTCCCAGAAGCTCCCAGGAGCTCCCAGAAGGTCCCAGGAGGTCCCAGAAGGTCCCAGAAGCTCCCAGAAGGTCCCAGAAGGTCCCAGGAGGTCCCACCTTCCACGATGAGCTCGGCCTCGGCCTCGCCGCCGTTGGTGAGGATGCGGTAGCGGCCGGTGTCCTCCTTGGTGGCCTCGTTGAGGATCAGGAAGTGCTTCTTGCCGTCCTTCTTGAAGCGGTACTTGAAGGCGTCCTCGCGGGTCAGCTCCACGCCGTCCTTCGTCCTGAGGGGTGGACACACGGTGGGCACGGGGTGGACACGGGGTGGACACGGGGTGGACACACGGTGGGCGTGGGGTGGACACGGGGTGGACATAGGGTGGATTTGGAGATGGACACAAGGTGGACACATGGTGGACACAAGGTGGATTTGGAGATGGACACAAGGTGGACACGGGGTGGACACAAGGTGGACGCATGGTGGACACAAGGTGGACACAGGGTGAATTTGGAGATGGACATGGGGTGGACACGAGGTGGACACATGGTGGACGTGGAGTGGATTTGGAGATGGACACGAGGTGGACACAGAGTGGACATGGGGTGGACACGAGGTGGACGTGGGGTGGACACATGGTGGACATGGGGTGGATTTGGAGATGGACATGAGGTGGACATGGGGTGGACACAGAGTGGACATGGGGTGAAGGTGGGGTGGACCCATGGTGGACACAGGGTGGACGTGGGGTGGACATGGGGTGGATTTGGAGATGGACACACAGCCGGACACGCGGACACACAGGATGGACACAGATGGACACACGGACACACGGCCGGACACACAGGATGGACACAGATGGAGACACGGACACACAGGATGGACACAGGGGATGGACACACAGCTGGACACACGGACACAGATGGACACACAGGATGGACACACAGGATGGACACAGATGGACACACGGACACATGGCTGGACACACAGGATGGACACACAGACACACGGCCGGACACATGGACACAGATGGACACACGGACACAGATGGACACATGGACACACGGACACACGGCCGGACACACGGACACACAGATGGACACACAGGATGGACACACAGGATGGACACAGATGGACACACAGACACAGATGGACACACAGGATGGACACAGATGGACACACGGACACACAGCCGGACACACGGACACACAGATGGACACACAGACACAGATGGACACACGGACACGCAGATGAACACATGGCCAGACACACGGACACACGGCCGGACACACAGGATGGACACACGGACACACAGATGGACACAGGGGATGGACAGACAGATGGACACAGGGGATGGACAGACAGATGGACACACAGCCGGACACACGGACACAGATGGACACACGGACACACGGCCAGACACACAGGATGGACACACAGAGATGGACACACGGACACGCAGATGGACACACGGACACACAGCCGGACACACGGACACACAGATGGACACACAGGATGGACACAGATGGACACACGGACACGCAGATGGACACATGGCCAGACACACGGACACACGGCCGGACACACAGGATGGACACACGGACACACAGGATGGACACAGGGGATGGACAGACAGATGGACACACAGCCGGACACACACGGACACAGATGGACACACGGACACACGGCCGGACACACAGGATGGACACACGGACACAGATGGACACATGGACACACGGACACACGGCCGGACACACAGACACAGATGGACACACAGGATGGACACACAGACACAGATGGACACACAGGATGGACACAGATGGACACACGGACACACGGCTGGACACACAGGATGGACACACAGACACACAGGTGGACACACAGGATGGACACAGATGGACACACAGGATGGACACAGATGGACACACGGACACAGATGGACACACGGACACAGAGATGGACACACGGACACAGATGGACACACAGGATGGACACACAGGATGGACACAGATGGACACACGGACACATGGCTGGACACACAGGATGGACACACAGACACACAGATGGACACACAGGATGGACACACAGGATGGACACACAGACACACAGATGGACACACGGCCGGACACACAGGTGGACACACAGGATGGACACAGATGGACACACGGACACACGGCCGGACACACAGGGTGGACACAGATGGACACACAGACACACAGCCGGACACACAGGATGGACACAGGGGATGGACACACAGCTGGACACACGGACACACAGCCGGACACATGGACACACAGATGGACACACAGGATGGACACACGGACACACGGCCGGACACACGGACACATGGACACACGGCCGGGCACACGGACACACAGATGGACACACGGCCGGACACACGGACACCCAGATGTCCACCCGTCCGTCCGTCCGTCCGTCCGTCCGTACCACATGACCTGGGCGCCCTCCTCGGACACCTCGGCCTCCAGCACCGCTCGCTCGCCCACCAGCACCTGCTGGTCCTCGGGACCCTTCACTATCGTCACCGGCGGCTCTGCGGACAGGTGCGGACAGGTGAGGGACAGGTGAGAGGGGACAGGTGAGGGACAGGTGAGAGGTGAGGGACAGGTGAGGGACAGGTGAGGACA